TGTCTTTCGATAGTGAGCAAGAAAGCTCCGTCGGTGCGCTCCTAGAAGCCCATCTCTGTATCCAGCCCCTCGCGAACCCGTTCCGACTCTGACTCTATCTTTCCGGGGCGATCAATCATCGGAAACACATAGGCCAGGGTTAAGGAATGGGAGGAGGGATAAACAATAACCCATTATCCTTGATCATATTGAAATACGAACCCAACCCTACTAAACAAAGGTCCCACTCTCAAACAACAGCACCCGTCCTAGCTGAGGGTTATCTCCCACCGGATATACATGCCAATCATACGTTCATTTGCCCGTCCCCTCTCATTTCTGTCATACGCCCAGCCATACCTTATAAATTATCAGAGTTAACCATCTCTGATCCCTCCCCCTTTGCCTAACTTCCCCCGGTGGTGCTAAGGCGTGCGCAAGTCGTAATTAAGTCGTTGACCTTAGATTTCATTAACCGTTATCCCTTCATAACCACAATGCTCCGTACATCAAACGAACGCTTCATAATGCTCACGCTACACAATTAGAGATACGACCCACCACAGATTTCGGCACTCGACCCTCGCGTTACGCGACTTATTGCGGTCCATCCCATCACCATGGCGAATCACCTACACAAAAACATAAATGTCCTTCGGCCAGCGGTTCCGAGACTACGGCTCGCAGGACACTGTGTAGTCCGGTTTCCGCGGGGGACTTATTTGAAATTTGAGACCGGGGCTGGGTAACTAAGGTCCGTCCGGGCTGCCTGCGTCGTCTCCGTATAGCCGCGGTTTTCGGGCCAGCCCCCGGCGGCCGAAAGGGATTAGTCGTTCGTCGGCTTTACACGAATCCATGACTACCAGTTATGCCAAATTGCCTATAAGAAAACGAAACTAAGCGTACCACGGCCCGCGGTGGGCTTATCTAAACTTTGAAACCGGGCTGGGTAACTAGGTCCGTCCGGGCTGCCTGCATCGTCTCCGTATAGCCACGGCTTTTGAAACAGCACCGGCGACCGAACGGGTGAGCCTCCGTTGGCTTCACACAATCCACGACTACCAGCGTTATAGGTGCCCGAAGCCCTATCTATCCGTTGCTGGTAGTTAAGCTGTCGTCACAGACCTAACCGAAATGACCGCTGCACGGCCGGAGTAAATCGACTGACAGCGGGGTGGCCAGTACCGACTTACCGCGATCACCCGACTCGCATGCTTTGGTATTTAATGTTCACCCCCGTCCTGCAGCATCACACGTTTCTTCGCGGGACATTACTTAACCGGCGGCATACGTCTCCTCGCTGGGACGCCTGGGGTCCTAACCACCTCCGAAACTACCTACGTCGCTTATCGAATGTCATCCTGCGCTGATCACTCAATGGACCGATAGCGGACCTAACCTATCTTTTAAAACCGGGCGGGGTCACTAGGTCCCTCCGGGCTGCCTGCATCGTCTCCGTATAGCCACGGCTTTATGGGGCCCGCGCCGGCGACCGAACGGATTAGCCTTCGTCGGCTATGCACTCATCCTCAAAAATCGATCCTCAACTCGCTCTCACCCTTTCTCTTCACTTCGCGACTTATTGCACGTATCCAGGGCTTACCCAAGCGAGGCCTACTATTTAAGTGGGGTCTATCCGAGCTGAAATTCATTCAGTAAATCCGATTCCTCTACGTGTACAGTCTTCTTCCATTTCACTCGCTTCTCATCTCCCTCCTAACCCGTAGCCGCGTCGGTGGATTCTCCACGCACAGGGGCGTGACGTGCATCATCTATCTCCCCGGTTCCATCCCTTGCAGTGTCCATGTAGAATAAAATTACATATATTTCGTGTGCAACAAGGTCTAGTGTGTTGCTTGTGTGCGGACCGTTGGTAAATTGATTAGTGGAGTGCCAGGAAATCCGCTGGCAAGGGCATTTGGGAGTCAACCGGAGGAGCTCCAGTATCGGTTGGGCTAGGGAGGTCCTGTATGTGTTGTGTATAATCGCTATCGTTTGGACCGTGGGATAATTCGGGGAGGATGGAGTGCCAGGAAATCCACTGGCAAGGGCACTTAGGAGTCAACCGGAGAAGCTCCAGTATCGGTTAGGTCAGGGAGGTCCTGTGTGTATTGTGTGTAATCGCTATTGTTTGGACCGTGGGATAATTTGGGGAGGATGGAGTGCCAGGAAATCCACTGGCAAGGGCACTTAGGAGTCAACCGGAGAAGCTCCAGTATCGGTTTGGCTAGGGAGGTCCTGTATGTGTTGTGTATAATCGCTATCGTTTGGACCGTGGGATAATTCGGGGAGGATGGAGTGCCAGGAAATCCACTGGCACGGGCACTTAGGAGTCAACCGGAGAAGCTCCAGTATCGGTTAGGTCAAGGAGGTCCTGTGTGTATTGTGTGTAATCGCTATTGTTTGGACCGTGGGATAATTTGGGGAGGATGGAGTGCCAGGAAATCCACTGGCAAGGGCACTTAGGAGTCAACCGGAGAAGCTCCAGTATCGGTTAGGCTAGGGAGGTCCTGTGTGTATTGTGTGTGTAATCGCTTTTGTTTGGACCGTGGGATAATTTGGGGAGGATGTAGTGCCAGGAAATCCACTGGCAAGGGCATTTGGGAGTCAACCGGAGGAGCTCCAGTATCGGTTGGGCTAGGGAGGTCTGTATGTGTTGTGTATAATCGCTTTGTGCACTGTGTAAAATCAGCAGATAAAGAGAACTGATCGTTGTAAATTACTCTGGCCAGACACCTTGGAAACGACCTCTTTTCTGACTGTTGGTTAGCATATGACCTTTTATGCTCCATCCTCCGATCCCTGCCCCTTCAGCACTACTCACAATCGTATTTCAATATTTACAAGTCCCATTTATTTACATACTCCGACGCAACACCTTAAATTCCCTTGCACGTCAAATTTAAAGGAAAGATTCTGGGCCCAGGCCGCCCATCAACTGAGCCCCACAAGCCGCGCGGTGCGGTACACAGTCGCCCGTCCCTTTCCCGACTCCCCACGGTGCATAATCCCCTCCGTCCGCCTTAATCACCACGGGGCGCCGGACGAGGGTCCACGTCGGCACGCGTCTCGCACCACGCGCACAGTTACATAATTGACCGAATCGAATTGTGAACTTAAGCTACCTAGACTGAAAGTCCCAAGAATAAATTGAGCTAACTAAACTGAATGGCCTAAAATATTGCGGACGACACCAAAAAGGGGAATATAATGTGGCTCACATAGCAGTAACGAGGGGGGGGGGTTACTTGAAGGATTTAGGGACTAGGTGCGCACCCGTGTTCACCGCGTGACCTTACTTGAGATGGAGTCGCTGACATGATGGTCGTGTCCGTCCAGCGCCCGGCCCGGCGGCCAGAGCCGCCGCCGGCGCCGTGATGCCAGCCGCTGGTGTCTCGTGGGCTGTCCGCGATGTCAGACGAGAGACGTGGGCCGATAGAGTGCGAGAGGCGCCGAATCAGTCGTCCCAGAGAGTGCCAGAGAGCGTTCCAGTTCCGTTTCATCAACTTATACTTTTGATGACGTCATACTTCAGAGGGCCGGGCAGTATCTCCTTGTCCAATCTTCGTCCTCCATTCTCAGAAAGTGCGTTTGGCTCCGCCTTCAAACGTTCGTGATTTGCTGAAGTTCGGCACCCCCGGCCATGGCAGTCGCACCCTTTCACGCAGCGATCGGATGGAACTCGCCGCCGGCGATTTGCGCCGCCTGAGGCGCCAGGTGTCGGCCGGCTCTGCGCCCTCCTTTCTTGTTTTTAGTCCTGCGCTCCCCCCTGCTTTGAATGTCTCCGGCCAGGTGTCCTTCTTCCATGGCGGTGACCGAGTTCATTTCATCCTGTTTTCGTACAAACCGGGTCGGTCCCCGCTCCCCTTTCTTGTTTTGGTTCAAATCAGGGCCGGTCTGCACTCCCCTCTCCTTGTTCTTCTCTTCTGGCGGGGTGCCGAGCGTGGGACAGAGTCTTGTTTTCCAACGGCTAAACTGATTAATGGCTCGACACCGGCAGGATAGTGCGTTTCGGTATGCTATTTGTTGGCTTCAGATCCGGGTTCTCATGAAGTGGGGTGGTCATCTATAGAGGACCCCTGTTTGTCAGAGCCGACTGCGCCGTCTGTGTGGACGCCAGCTGGGACGGAGAGAGGGTATCACAGCCGATTTAGCCGGCTGACCGTGTCTGTGCGGCGCTCGCAGATGGCCGTGTTTCAGCTTGTGGCACAGCTTGCAGTTCAGCATGAAAGATGAAAAAAATGTAACGCATCTGCGTTACATGTACATACAGACTGTATGGAGCATTACCTACAGGCTTATAAAGTTGAAATCTTTGTTAAATCATACATGTTTTGACGATTGTTTACCTAAATGATTTGCCATAGTACGAATTGTAGCTGAACGGGCAGGCGTTTCGTACTAACATTTACACAAACCCATTATAAACATAGGATTTGCCATAGATTAAATTATTCTGATGAAATTAACTCAGGGTACGATATTTTATTTGAGATATTATAGCTGTCACCTTTTGACCTTTTAGCGGTGTACGCTAGCTTCATTGATCAGCGAGCTATTAAAGTCTGATCCAGTTGTTTGCACACACCCTGTTCACTTCACGATAGTGCTATTACGAAAAGGTCAGTTTTCACAGGAAATGTCAGACGGAGGTGTAACCATTTACCAAATCCCTCTCCGTTTGCCCGTTGAGCAAGTAAGTGACGGTCAAACAGGCTTGACCAGCTGTCCATTTAGGTGACCATCCCAGTGGAACCCATAGCGTAAACGTTGGCCGCAGGGGCGCAGTGGCAGGCGAGGAAGAGGGCACTTTGTGAACTCTAGCTCCGGCGCATGTAGCGGAAACCCGTTTATCCCGGCAGACGGCGAAGCAGCTGAGCCCTTACCACCAGCAGCAGCGGCAGGAGAGGCCTCAGCTGCGCCTATCCTCCCACTCAGCTCCGTTCGCAGCTCCCCCTCGCTCCCCGCCCTCAGCTCCACCCCATCGCTCCCGAACACCATTCGTCAGCGGCTCTGCTCACCTCCAGCGGCTTTCCGACCGGGTACTGGACGGCCTCGCCCTCCGTCATGGCAGCCGCCTCGAAGCGGCCCTCCTCCATCCTGGCCTCGCGGCTCTCGTTGCGAGGCGTGCGGCTGCCCTCGTCCACGGCCAGGCTGTCCGACGACGGCGTCTTGAAGGCGATGATGGTCGGCTTGCGGCGCATGTAGCGGAAGCTCTTGGCCACCGATTTGTTCTGTGGATTCTGGGAGAGAGAGGTCGTGTTTTAGGATTTCATCGGAATGCATCTTTGAAAGCAAAAAAACTTGCGTCTGATGAAATGTTCTGTGAAGACCAATTTGTTGTCTTTACTGTACCTACGCAATTTCTTTGCAGCTAAAATCAACCGATGACCCGTTACAACGTGGCAAAATATAACCGTAACATGGTACCTAACGAAAAATAAGTCACATATCATATGCTATTACCATCACTTGATAAAAAAATTATCAAGAGCCTCGAAAAACATGAATTCTCTGACCAGGGAACTCGCTATAAACTAAATGAAGAAAAAACTGAAAACCTTGTAGCTCCGAAATTCACATATTTATTGTGAATCCTAGAAAGCCGTTTTTTATTGTAAAGCAGGTGTTTTTTGAAAGGCAGTCCTTTATAACAAGTTCCTTGATAAGATGGTATTTTTAAACGGCCTGCTAACGTCTCAAATCACACGTAACGACCACATTTTACCGATCAAATACCCCAGAAAGTCATGCCGGTTCAAATGGCATCTCCGGAGATGAGTTACGAGATCGGTTTTCCAGAGCGTGATCAGTTGGATCCATTATCAGAGTACGTTGTCATAAAAAGTGGTGCCACTCTCGGAAAATGATCAATAGGGGCCGACAGAGGTGTGGCAGTAAAGCGGGCCGCCGCGCGCCGCCGCTGTGAGAGTGGTCCGACTGAAATATGGAGGCCGTTCGTCACCGGACGAATCCCGAGCCGCCGCGCGGCACCGGTGCCTCCACTCCTCCCCTGCTCCTCTCAGCTCTGCACTCCTCCCTTCCCGTCTGGAGCGGACAGGCCCGGAGGGGCGGCAGAGCCCACCGACTGCTGGCCTTCGCGTGACGCGCCTAACACACATCTGACGACTATTTTAATGAAACGCGCAATCAGGATCGGAAAAAGTAATCACAAAGGAGCAGCGTCAGCAGCAAACTATCAAAGAAAGGAAGAGCTCTAAATGATTTCGTTTTATTAGTTTTTCTCGGGAGCGCGGGGTGACCGCTGAAATTGGAGAGCTTTGGATGAGATTACGTCCGAGACCGTGCCGTCTCAGAACTGGGAGTGCAGCTTAGAGTCGCGGCACCGGCCCGAGACGGGGGGGGGGGGGGGTGTCAGCGGGCAAACAGTCGGCACCGGGCGGGAGAGGCTGCCGTCACGCCACGCCCTCCGAGGGACTCACCATGTACGGCATGTTCTGCAGCTGGTTGCGCGCCTTGGCCAGGGCCGTCTCGTCAAACTTGGTCTCGGAGTTGGAGCGCATCTCGCCGCGGAGCCTGCCGAGCGGTCACACGGTTAGCACTCAACACTCGGCACTCAGTGCTCAGTGCTCAGCACTCGGCACTGAGCACTCGGCACTCGGCACTCGGCACTCGGCACTCGGCACTCAGCACTGGGCACTCGGCAGTTCCGTCACACTAAAGCCCGGAGCCAAAGAGGAGAGGAGATTGAAGTGAGGTGAAGGATGGAAAGAGAGACAGAAAAAAAAAAACGAAAAGGGACGAATTGCGAATAGTGAAAAGGAGTGGGCAGAAGTGAGGCAAGGACTATTTCGGGTTGCGAACTTCACCAGGCTCTCGAAGTGAGCACTCAATACAGTGCAATGTGTCCCAAGATGGCGCAATTTGGGCGTTTCTCATCGCCTTTCGGTCCATAGCCGACCGGCGGAGTCGGGTTATTGTTGTGGAATTTCGATGAGCACCGCCGTTTCATCTGGTCCGGCCACATTCAATTGCGCCTTCGCCACTAGCCGCCGAGAGAATTTCCCGCGGGACAGAGTGCCCGCTCGGGAGACAGAGGGCGTTTGGGAAAGATCATCCTACTGTCTCAATCCACCTGTAATTTTCTGGGGGAATCGTCTATTGCCGGACGAGAAAACAGTTGCACTATGTTATTTACATCAATTTGGTGGATCACTCACGCGTTCTTTATACTTCAGGTGGGGGATACGTCGTATACTGCTATACAATTATACGCATATTTCTAGTTGCAATTTTTAGTGATTGATATTTGGTGCTAAAAAGCGATAAATCGTGCGGTCGCTGCCTGCACCGGATGTCCCAGTGCGCTGCACGGAACGTCCCAGAGAGCCGCGCGAGATGTCCAATAGGGCTGCGCGGGATGTCCCAGAGAGTCGCGCGGGATGTCCCAGAGAGTCGCGCGGGATGTCCCAGAGATAGCCGCGCGGGATGTCCCAGTGAGCCTCCGTGGCTTGGCGTCTCTGTGTTACCGGAGCGCCGCCACCGGGATTAATTGCGCCTCCCTCGAACAAACACAATCAACTTTTCTTTCCAGACACACACAAAAACAGCAATTGGCGACCGGGGCTGGCCCCCGTCACGGGCCGAACCGGCGCAATCATTTTGGGACCTATTCAATCAATTTACGATACAGTTATTGGGTGTGGGTATGTAGTAGACAAATAGGTGGTCAAATGTTCTTGATGCAGCGGACAACATGTAGCCGTTAACCTTAATGAGCGTACTTAATTGGAAAGTGTTTACAAGATAGCGTGACAGATCTATTAAGTTGGTGAGGTAGTCGCTAACAATATTCTAATTTCGAAATAAATAGTTAATATCCTTGAATGTCACTAACTGTGTGCTTAGTGCCTAACTATCACGTAATTCAAGTTTTATCACCTGCCTTTTTACCCTTTGATTGAACGGCAAATTCTGCCGGCTTTCAATAATAAATTGACCAGCCACCATGATACAAAAACAAAAACACCTTGATACCAATCGTATAAATAACCCATCACAAGTTTTGATGAAAAGCAGACCCATTTGTCACCGAGCTCCTTGCCGAGGCAGCACTAACACTTACAGCAGCAGCTTCTGTCGCTTCTTCATCCTGTGCTCCATGTCCGGCAGCGAGCGGGCCTTCATCAGCGGCTGCTTCTTGTTGTTGAACATGATGCCCGGGGGCGCCAGACGATTTCCGTCCACCGGAGCCGCGACTGCAAACAGTCGTACACACAGGCATTAGAACACAGCGAACTAATCAGTGAATTACGTACTGATAATTTGAAAGCCATTTTCCCTTTTAGTCAGGAAATGTTATGTTTCCCAGGTGTAAGCTCAGCGCTCAGACCGATAACCCAATCATTCACATGTGTGTTTGTCCCTCTCTCACTACACATTGCTGGTGATCAGCACACGTTTTGCATCACCGTGTCCCCTGCCGGCTGTATGCAGCGGGTTCCAGCCGATGACAGCAGTGGCAGTAATCGCCTGCGTTCACCGGCGGCCGCTCCATGCGCTATGTGCCGACACCGGTCCGTAATTATGTCGCCGGCTTCTGGCGGCCATTCGGACGACGGTCGGCGTCTAATACAGGCGCGCCCCGCGGTCTCCGGGCCATTTGTAGACTGTTGGGCCGGCGGGACGTCGGACCCGGCACTATTTCGCCGCGCGACGGGCTGTCATTTGTAGGCGATTAGAGCCGGCGCGGCGGCGCGGAGCTCGACAGAGACCGGCCACTGGCGCGCCGCGCCGGGATAAACAGCCTCCGGGCCGCGGGTCGGAGATGAGGGAGGGAGGGAGGGAAGGAGGGAGCGAGGGAAGGCGAGAATGAGAAAGCTGGATAGAAGAGGAGTTATTCAAGCTGGAGCGGTATCGTTATTCATATATAGCCCTATCAAATGAGCAAGTATATATTAAAACTCTAGAAAGGAAACTGAGCATAAATACAAATAAGTGATAACAACTTTCAAAATGAAATGTAAAAGAAGTGAAAAGGCAGACAATGAACCTGAAATGAAATGGGAAATAACCGGAAAAGCTACTCAGAAGCCAGAAAGGACGTGACATTGTAGGACAATGGCAACTTACCTACCTATCTTTTCATCCAGGAGCTAACTGAACATGTCGGTAGACATGTATTTAATAAAAAGTTCTAAATGAGTTTCGTCTTTCAATTCAGCTAATTAAAGGGACTATCCCACCTTTAACATGGGGTTTGAGTTGAGATAGCCAAGTTTGCGGCGAGGTTCAGAAACCACTATCTATCTAGGTTGCAACCCCCGCGGCCTCTTGGTGTTGAAGAAATTCGTTCCCTTCATTTGAAAATGGGCCTTGCGCAAGGCCCTATCTTCAACATGGAGCGATCGTTAGTGTGACGTCACCTCGTTTAGTCATTCTGATTAAATGGGTTTGTTCGTTGAAAAATCGCTTAAAACTTGGTCTGAACTTTGTTGTGGTGCCTACAGAGTAAAAAGAATCAGCTTTATGACAGTAATGTGGCCTGGGGAAGGAGGTAATTTTGGGCTGTGACGTCACATATTTGAAAGTTTGTGTTTGGAATATGGGAAGCCTAAGATGTTTAATGAAAAATAAATGCCAGAACCGTGTTCCTGGTCATCCAATCTATAAAGTCGGGCACAATTTAACTGGTTTTAACAACATTTTAGAAGGTGGGATAGTCCCTTTAATCGTTGTTTTGCATCCGACTCCGCACGTTGCATTGCTTAATTCCACGGTGCTACATTTAACAATGCATACTCTCTAAATCAACTAATCCAGTAGCGGCTGAGAGTCGCATTTCACTCGGCCTCCATCCGGGCCGTGTTTGTATATCAGCGGCCCCGGGCGGTGGCCGTCCGGCTGCACTGGCGCGGTAATTACCCATGCTCTGGCCCCGTGCACCCCCTCTGGGGAGCGGCGCGCGGCCGGCCGGCCAGCGCCGCCGGACCGGGCCGGTCACAGCGGCGGCCAGCTGTCCCAACGGGATGGCCGCCAAACGAAGCCGCTCACGACTGCGACAAGCGCGCATAATTAATGAGCCGTCTGCGAGTTGGCGGAGCGGGGGCAGAAGGAGGCGAGGAGCGGCGCGGGACAGTGCGCGGAGAGCAGACCGGCCGGCCCGAGACGAAGCCAGCGGCGGCCGGCAACAGGTCGCCGCCGGTGGGATCAATAGGTGGAGGTGTTTGGAGGTGCCGCTCCGCTCCGCCGACCGCTCTCCCTCCCTCTCCCTCGAGCTCAGTGTCGTCAGACCGCAGGTGTTCAGGGGCTATGATAGCGCCGGTCTCGGCGGTCATGGCAGAGCGGCGGCACCGTGTGCGGCAGAGCGTGGGAGAGACGGGCAAGCGGGAATAGGAAGAAGGAAACAGGACAGGGCTGGAAAGAAGGGAGACCAAAAAACTGATAGAGCGAGGAAGAGAACGATGAGATAGAGGGGAGAGAGAGAGAGAGAGAGAGAGAGAGAGATAGACAGAGAGACAGAGAGAGACAGAGAGAGAGAGAGACAGAGAGAGACAGAGAGAGAACAGAGAGAGACAGAGAGAGACAGAGAGAGATAGAGAGACGAGATAAGAGATAGACAGAGAGA